ACAAGTTGGCCAACAAGTAACTTAACTGCTTTCCAAAACAAACTTCAGTGTTATGGAAAGAAAACAAATAATGATCATGAAATAATGTAATATCCATTACACAGAATTTCCAGTCAAAAATTAAATAGAAATGAAAGAGGATTCTGTGAAGATGAAGTAGGAGGCACCAAAAATCTATTTCTCTACATAGATAATAATTGCACTAGCAAAATATATCTCATGTAACTGTTTTTGAAACTGGAGCCTATTGAAGCCTCACAACTTCCAGGGTAAGGCTTAGATGGTAAATTGCAGTTACTTTTCGTCAAATTCAGCTCTCATCCCTTACCCCCCTTCCCCCCAGCCTCTTGGCATGCAGCTCTGCAAGTGTTCCTGGAGCAATTTGCACACAGATTATAGAAGCCAGGGTGGATGTGATGGTTAATTTTATGTGTCCACTTGGAGAGTCACGTGGTACCCAGATATTTGTTCAAACATTATTGTGGGTGTTTTAGTGAGGTTGTTTTGAGATTAGATTAACATTTAAATTGGTAGATAAAGTAAATCAGATTTCCCTCCCTAATGTGGGTGAGCCTCATTCAGTCAGCTGAAGGCATGAGTACAACAAAAATATAGATATGATATAGGATAGATCAATATGACATATCAATTCCATTTCTGGAGCACCCTGACTACTACAGTAGGCAATAAGGACCTTGCCTTCAAAATATCAATAATCTATATTCTGATTGCTATATTCTGATCTCATGTGTCTGATCATACAGTGCAGACACAGAAGTTAGCAGCTATTTTCATAACACATAGCTTTGTTGCAAGCTCCTCCCCTTGGGCTGAAGCAACTTCCAGGCATTTAAATGGCTGGTGTTTTATCCCCCTCCCCCTGCTTTCATTTTTTTTGTTTATCTCTTTTGGGAGCCAGTCATTAGTGACTAGGATATTCAAAAGGAACTGCATACAGAATAAATTTGGTCACCACACATACCCAGAGAAAGATGCAGGCCCAGAAAAGACCTGAGAAGATCTCAGGTTTACAATTCAGGTTGATCCACTGTATGAAGACAATTTATAATAATTAGGAAACAAAGCAAAACAAAAATGAAAAAGAAAAATCCCTGAGGAAGGTGGATCATCTGATTACCAGAGTTACATTATATTAGAAGCAATGTCCAACTTTCAACAACAACAAAAAACTACAACAGGCTGGGCGTGGTGGCTCACACTTGTAATTCTAGCACTCTGGGAGACCAAGGCAGGAGGATCACTTGAGGTCTGGAGTTTGAGACCAGCCTAAACAAGAGTGAGACCCTGTCTCTACAAAAAATAGCAATTATCTGGACAACAAAAAATATATATAGTAAAAATTAGCCGGGCATGGTGGCACATGGTTGTAGTCCCAGCTACTTGGGAGGCTGAGGCAGAAGGATTCCTTAAGCCTGGGAGTTTGAGGTTGCTGTGAGCTAGGCTGACACCAGAGCACTCTAGCCGGGGCAACAGTGTGAGACTTTGTCTAAAAAAGAAAATCACAACACATGAAAAAAAATGGAAAAGTTTGACCAATTCAAAAGAAAAACAGAAACTGTCCTGGAAAAAGACCTGATGGTAGAGTTACAAGACAAAGATTTTAAAACAAATGTCTTAAAAATGCTCAAAGATCTAAAGGATGATGTGGAAAAAAACAAGACAGTAATACATGAGCAAAATGGAAATGGGAATATAAATAAAAAGATAGAGAACCTAAAAAAAGAAATTCTAGAACTGAAAAAATAATTGCTGAAATGAAAAATTTACTACAGGGATTCAAAGGCTGAAAATCAGTGAACTTTAAGATAGGGCAAATGAAGTTATCAAGCCTGAAGAACAGAAAGAAAAAATAAGAAAAGTAAAAGAATCTGAGCTACCTCTGGGAGACCATGAAATGAGCAAATATCCACAATGTGGGAGTTCCAGTAGGAGAAGAGGGAGAGAGAAAAATGACAGAGGGACTATTTAAAGAAATAATGGCCAAAACTTCCCGAGTTTGATGGACATGAACAACCAAGAAGCTCAATGAACCACAGGTTGAATGAACTCAAAAAGATCCACAGGGAGACACTTTACAATCAAACTGTTGAAAGACAAAAGGATTTACAATAAGATTATTTGGCAGATTTCTCATCAAAAATTTTGGAAGCCAGAGGGCACTGGGCTAATATATTCGAAGTGCTAAAATAAAATTTAAAAATAAATCCTGTCAACCAAAAACCTTATGTCCTGCTAAACTATCCTTCAAAATTGACAACAAAAAAACATTAGCTGAGGAAGTTTGTTACCACTAGACCTGCCATGCAAGATATGCTAAAGATAGTCCTATAGGTTGAAGTAAATTAACACTAGGCAGAAACTCAAAGCTTTGTGAAGAAATAAAGATCTCAGTAAAGCTAAATATGTAGGCAATTATAAAAGCTAATATTATTTTAACAATGATTTGTAACTCAATTTTTTTCTATATGATTTAAGAGACTAATACATTTTGTAACAAAAATAATAGCCCAAAAGCAAGTATTATTTTAACTTTGGTTTGTAATTCCACAGTTTATTTCCTACATCATTTAAGAGACTGATGATCTAAAAAATGATAAGATTTTGTTTGTGAACACACATTGTATGAAGATAGAATATTTTGACATCAATAAGTCAAAGGGGTAAGGAAAAGTTGTAAAGTAGAAGAGATTTTGTATGTTATTGAAGTCAATGTGATATAAATTCACATTAGTATTTTATAACTTTAGGATATAAAATGTTATATTCATGGTAAGCATAAAGAAAATGCTTATAGCACAAAAGGAAATGAGAAGAAAATTAAAATATTTCACTATGAAAAACCAATCAAATAAACAAAAAAAAGAGACAATAATACAAAAACTGAGGGCCCAAAAAGCTATAATACATACAAGAAACAAACAGCAAAATGAATAGGACAGCAATAATTCCCTTCTTATCAATAATTACTTTAAATATAAATAGATTAAACTCTTAAATCAAAAGCCAAATGTTGATAGAATAGATTTAAAAAACCCATAATCCAGCTACTATATATGGTGTCTCCAAGTGATTCATTTTAGATCCAAAGACACAAATACATTGAAAGTGAAAGGATGTAAAAAAAAAAAAAATTCCATGCAAATAGCAACCAAAAGAAAGCAGAAGTGTTCGTGCTCAAATCAGACAAAATAGACTTTTAAATCATAACATGTTGTGAGGCAAAGAAGGACATTATATATTAAAAAAAGGTTTGATACAGAAAGAAAATATAACAATAATTAACACATGCCTAATAATTTATCATCAATATACATACAGAACTACAGAAAAAAATGAAGGAAAAAAGAAACATTTCTACAATAATAATTGGAGACTTTAATACTCCCAATAATAGATAAGATAACCATACAGAAGATAAATGTGGAGAGGACTTGAATAATTCAATTAACTGACTAGATTTAAGTTGTACAAACATATCCAAAACACTCTACCAAAGAATAACAGAATACACATTTTTCCTCAGGTGTATATGGGACATTTCCAGGGTGGATCCTGTATTAGGCCACAAATTAAGTCTCAATTGATTTTTTAAAAAATGACATAACTCAAAGTATCTTCTCTGACCAGTATAGTATAAAATTAGAAATCCGTAACAGAAGAAAAAAATAAAAATTTTAAAATTTGGGGAAATTAAATAACACATTCAAAACAACTAATGATCAAAGAAAAAATAACAAGGGAAATTATAAAATACTTACATGAATGATAATGGAAGCAAAATATCCCAAAACTTTTGGGTTGCAACACAGCAGTGATAAGGGGGAAATGTATAGCTATAGATGCTTACATTAAAAAGCAAGATTGGAAGTCAACAACCTAACTTTACAATTTAAAAAAATGAGAAAAAAACCAAAATAACTGAAAGTTAGCAAAAGGAAGGAGGTAATGAAGATTCAAGAAGACATAAATGAAATAGAGTATAAAAAAAATGAAAAATATCAATGAAACCAAAAGTTGGTCTTTTGAAAAGATCAGTGAAACTGACAAATGTTTCATTATATTGATTAAGAAAAAAGGCTCAAATTATTAAAATCAGAAATAAAAAATAAAAGCTAAAATTTAAAAAGACATTACTACAAAATCTACAGAAATAAAATATACTACCAGAAAGGCTTTCAGGAGGCTACCAGGAGGCTTTCATCTGTTTCAAGAAATGATTGAAAATGTAGGTAAGGAAGATATTCAGAATTATGGGATAGGTGTCTTGTGAGAAAAGTATAGGAGCATGAGCCATTTCTGTTGTTAAAAGAAATGATAATTAGATTTTAGACAAAGCTTTTTTTAATGGATGACAAATCCCAGTGCCAGTTCAATATGAACTTGTAACAATTTGGAGAAATGCACAAGGTTATTTTTCTTCATGAAGAAGGCTTCTGGAAGATTCTGAATGAGTAATCTCATTAATGCCACCTTCTCCACTCTAGGTACCTGGGTTGTTGTTCTTTCTCCACCTACACAAAATTGGTGTATGCTGTTTAAACATTTATGATGTCATCTTTTCTATAATCATCTCCCATTTATACCCAGAATTTTCATCCAAAAGGTTCTGATTCACGAGGCAGAAAGACATTTTTATAAAACTTATAGAGACCCATTATGTCCCCAACTTTGTTCCACAAAGGTCACTATAGAAGGATTCAATGAACAGTGTCCTCAACCAAGTTGTCATTATTCATATGATCTAGAACCATACCAATCCAATAAGAGAACCAATTGACTAAACCAGAGTTAAGTTTGAGTACCCTATGCCCCTTTTTTGCTGGAAGGCCACCCAGAATATGAAACCAAGTAGGCTGGCCTGAAGTTGATGTTAGGGGAAGGAAAAATGCATCATCCACAGAAAATGGCAGTGTGGAATTGCTAATTTAAAAAATAAGTACATATAACCTTCTATCTCTTTTGTCTTTATCCTTACACAGCAAGTAGCTCAGAGGAGATGATCCTGTTTTGGAAACATGTGAATTCTGTGATTCAACTCTTAATACATTACTAAGGTATGTCAACCAGAAATAGCTGAAGGAGGTAGAATCAGCAATGTATTATTCTAATATTTTAGGAGGCTACTCTAGTGCTTATCAATGTTATATTCATGTGGATTATAGGGAGTATAAAAGATTAATTGAATTTATTAACAATCAGCTCATTATTGCTAGCTTTTATAATAGGAGATATACTATTGTCAGATCTCAGATGATCTGTAAGAGAAGATAATACCATTGTCAGACTACAAATGACCTAGAAAATAAACATGTAACACAGAATAGTTTTAAGGACTGTGAAAATGATTTATCTATATAGGTCTTCTTTGGTTTCACTATATAATGTTTTGTAATTTTTTGCATACAGATCTTATACAACTTTGCTTAAATTTGTTTTTGTGTTCTTTATTTTTAGATGTCATTTGTAATGGGATTGGTTAATTTCTTTTTCTAATTGTTCATTAGTAGTATGTAAAAAATATCATTAGTTTTTATATATTGACTTTATATTCTGTGAGCTGACTAAACTGATTCATTAGCTCAGAATATTTTATATGGATTTCTTATATACACTTATATACATTTATATACACTTATATACATTTATTATATATTTTTTATATACACAGTTGTGTTCCCTACAAATTTAAACAATTTTACTCTTTACATTATAATCTTTACACATTTTATTTATTTTTTGCTTATCTTATTTCACTGGCTAAGATTACTAGTATGCCGTTGAAGATAGGTAATGAGACCCGAAATATGTCAATGCTTATGTTTTTGTTTTCTCCCTGGTCTTAGGTAGACTATTGAGAACACAGTCTAATTTTACCTAGAGTTTTCCCCTCCCTCCACTCCATAAACATCCTTAATCAAATTAAAGTGTTTTCCTTCTATTTGTATATTCCTATTTTGCTGAGCGATTTATTTTTTTTATTTCTTTGTTTTTTTAGCCATGAATGGGTAGGGACTTTTACTAAAATGCTTTTTCTGTATGTTTTAAGGTGCTCTGTTTCTCTTTTTTATTTTATTATATGATGAATCACATTGATATCTTGGACTTTAAAGCAACCTTGTATTGCCAGAATAAATCCCCTTGGTTATTATGTATTATCTTTTTTTATATCATTGGCTTAAGTTTGCTAAAATTTTAAAATGATTTTTGCATTTATGATTATGAAGGATTTTCTAGTTCTTTATTCTTGTAAATTATATCATTTGCATGAATATACTAGCCTTATAAAAATAGTTGGAATATGTTTCTTCCTCTTCTATTTTTTATGATAGTGTTTGCACTGAGTTGGTAATAGTTTGTCTTTAAATGTTTGATAGAATTTACCATTTACTCCATCTAGGGTTTTCTTTGTAGAAATTATAATTTCAATTTCTTTAACTGGAAATAGGGTTTTAAAATTTTGAATTTTTTTCCTTGTTCAGATTTGGTAATTTGTGTCTTTCAAAAAAAATTATCAATTTCATTCTAGCTGTATAATTTATTGACATAAAGTTGGTCTTAATATATCTTTGTTTTGATTTTAATATCTATATAGAACCTGTAGTGGTGGCCACTCTTTTTTTCCTGATATTGGCAATTTGAATTTTCTCTTTGACTCTTGGACAGTTTACCTAGAGGTCTAGGAATTTTGGTGACCTCCTCATAGAGGCTGCTTTTGAGTTCACTGAATTTCTTTACATTTTACACTATCTAATTGAGTTCTATTTATCTCAATTATTTTCTTTTCTCTACTTATTTTGAAACTTATATTTTCCCCTAGTTTTTAATTAAGAGTTTCAATCATTGATTTTAAATCTTTTTTTTTTTTCATTTAAAAATGCCTTGCCTTCATGTAGTCCTTTAACTGTGTCTCAAAATTCTTATATGTTGGATTTGCATTATTATTTAGTTCACATCTTTAAAAATTCTTATATAATTTCATTTTTAATTATGGGAACTTTTAGAAGTATGTTGTTTAACTTCTAAGTATTTTGGAGTTTATTGTTATATTATTGTTTTTGCTTCTAATTTAGCTCCAGTGGTTCTGGCAGTTACGTTTATTCTGTTTCCCAATTTTATGGCTGCTCTCTGCAGTTAGTCATCTGATAAGATCTTTATGTTGAATGCAAACCATTACATTGAAGAGAAATTGGGAAAGAGATTATTAAAGAAAATAATTGTCTAAATAGTAAAAGCTAAAAGTCAAAATATAAAAAGCTTCAAACCTAAAAATATTAATGGAAAATTATTCATTTGTTTTTCACATTACAAATGTCATGCTGCCAATCCAAATAAACAAAATAATAAAAGTTATTAAACTTTGGTGTCTGTCTTGAAGATACTATAAATTTAGTGTGGAAAATTTTTTATTAATTAATGAAAAGGGTGGAAAGGATCAAAAATAGACTTAAATGTTAAAAAATATCTCTTCCTCTTTTCTTATATTCCATGTCACTTCCCACAAATTAATAAATACATTTGTCCCTTCATATCCATGTGTTCTGCATCCACAGATTCAACCAACTATGGATTATAACATTTAGGAGAAAAAGAATGGTTAAATCTATACTGAACACATACATACTTTTTTGTTGTTGTCATTATTTTCTAAACAATACAGTTTAACAACTATTTATATAGCATTTACATTGTATTAGGTATTATAAATAATCTAGAGATGATTTAAAGTACATGGGAGGATTGCATAGGTTATATTGAAATCCTACAATATTTTATATAAGGGACTTGGAGTATCTGTGAAGTTTGGTATCCATGGGGGTTCCTGGAAACAACCTCTGGTGAATGGGGAGGAATGACTGGACTGGACTGCTATAATGTCATTTGAATAATACTTGGTAGTAAATAGGAATAAGAAAGATATACTATATAAATATTTTTCTTGTAAAGTTGTACTTTATTAGCATTAAAGTAGTGCAACCATCCCTCCACCACCACACACAAATACATGAGATCCTAGAAAAAACTTCTTTGATAATTGCATTTCCCAACTTCTGCAACTAAATGAAACAGGCATGGAGTCAAGAATCCTAAAAAACAAACTGGGAGGAGGGTGATTTTGTGTTTTCTTCTATGATTTCCACTATCTGCATACTGATTCCACAGGATATGCTAACGTGTTTTAAATCTTACTAAAATATGAAGGTAAAGGAAGCCCCACACATTACTACATGAATACTTATCTGCATGAGCAAAAAACAATTTTAATTTCTAACAGTGTCAAATTGTGTATGTGCAAATTTTTTTAATTTTTCTTTTCTGTTTTAATCAGTATACTATGATAAATGAGGCTTATTTTGAATTTTTTGATGACTTAAGAACTTTACTTAAAAAGTAGTATAAGTAAAAATCCTCATGTTCTGTGTTGTTTTTCTATAAAAATAGAGGATATACTAGATTTTTCTTTATATTTCATAAAAACCAAAAATTTTAAAAGACTTTTTTTACTATTATTAGCTTCTTTTTTCAGATCTAACATGAAATAGACAACATTTTGTTTATCAGTACTTATGGTTACGTTAATGGCCAAATGAGATTGATTTTTGTCCTTTGGGGGATATTTGGCAATGTCTGGAGATACTTTTGGTTGTATAACCGGGGACGTGCTTCTGGCTTCTAATGGTTAGAGGTTATGGGCTGCTAACATTTTATAATGTGTAGGAGAGCCCCTCATAACAAATTACTGGCCTGTCACGTCAATAGTACTGAAGTTGAGAATCACTTATGTGAATTCCGTTATTATTATTTCTAAGATAATAGAAGACATGATGATTGAAAAATTATTTTCATAAAATCCTTTCTGTTATATATGAGTAAAAAGAATTATTTTAAAAACTAAGTTATTTTTCTCCTTATAAATAGCAAGTATTAAAATATGGATTAAATTAAATTTATTAACCAAATTATAATTATACACTATGGAAAAAACTGAATATTTTTATTCCTATAAAGGGTACAGAAATATAGAATTTGCAGTGACATCATAATTTGACTTAGCTAACTTATGAACCTAATTCTCGTTAATACATTTTTCATAATATTACAAAAAAGGAAGCGTTTTTTCTATATACTTAGAATTTTCAATAACTGGTTCATGAACTTCTTGTTGCTTTTATTTTATTCTTATAGCAAAATCATTAATTTATGCCAGCTTATAATATTTCATTAATCTATCCTCTAAAATAATACTTAAGAAATAGGAACCTTCTTGGTTAAAGGTTAGAAAATAATGTCAAAAGGTAAATGGTTCATTAAAGGTAAGGCATTTCAGCTTCATAATAGATTATTACACAATCACTAGACGTTTCTAGATTTGTCTTACTAGTTAATTTTGGAGCTCCCTCTCCTTGTTCTTTTATTCCTTTAAATTCATATTTTCACAAACTTTTTGAAATTTATAAATTTTATATTCTGAACTCATCAATATTAGAATGAATCAATTTTAATTTACATTTTCTTAGCCCTATATAAAAATATTAAATGAGTAATAGTGGATCATCGTATCTCATAATTCAGAATCTTGATAACATAATGGATAGAATTTTGATAAACATACAAATTTTAACTAAATTTTTATATTTAGAGGTTTATTTTCAGCTTGGTGAACTACTTTGAATAGGTTAATGAAATTGACTGTTTCTCTATAGAAATTTTAAAAAATTATATTTGTTTTCAATTAAACTTGAGTATTTAATGTGGAAGATTCTGTAGACATTGCCATTTCAGAAATTGGACATCCTTACAAATTTACTCTATTTAATTGTGAATTTTCAGATTTTGTCACATGACCATAAGAACATCAAATTTATAATTCACTCTATATTAATTAAGACTAATAGTCTTGATTCAAAATTTTTTAAAGGATTAATTCATAATATTTTACATACAATATATTCAAATATAGTGGCAAGAATTAAGCCAAGAATATGTACTTTTCATGTGCATTTTGCCATAGAATAAATTGGGAAGCATAATTTTTGCTGCAAAAAATGGATGAAAA